TACAAAAAGGGAAACCGAATAGCACTCATGAAAAAGATCTCACCGTGCGAGCGGGCCTCCCATCAACCATTTGAAAGCTCGCGCCAAGAACGCTCGGAATAAGGACTTTGTAATACGATGCCCTCAACCCACTCCTTGAGTCGAGGAACTACATTCGGGATCCGAGCAACAGCTGCACCACCACAGAACGATGATAAGAAGAAAGGAAAAAGACGATAAATTAAATCTTGGAAGCAAAATTACACTTACGTGACATGTTCCACTTTTCAGGGAATGGCATATGTTTGGCAAGGATCAAGTATGAGGCCCTCACTCGAACAAAATGGCCTAGCCAACCCCGGTCCCGATATTCATCAATACTCAAAAATGGGGCTTTACTGGCCCAACGGGCGAGCTTGATCAGTCCCCCCTGGTAGTGTCGGGGACTGTATAAATGCATGAGGTGGTCGATAGTGAAAGGGCACCCTTCGATCTTGCTTACAAAGAAACGGAGGAGAATTACGATCCTCCAGAAAGAAGGGTAAATCTAACCGATGGTTACCTCGTATCTTTTGCAAAAGTCGATGATAACCTGGTCTAAGAGGCCCAGCGTGAAGGGATAAGTGTAAACACTTAAAAATCCCTTGACGTGGGTGGTGATGGCTTCGTCAAGTTTGGAAACCACCACGTGTTTGTCGACCCAATTACAATCCTTTTTGACTTTGGAGAGAATATCCTCGGTGATCGAGCAAATGTACCTCGAGGCATCCTCGCACCAGCCTGGTACGGAGGATGGCTTTTCGATCTTAAAATCAGCGTTGACCGGACATCCCCCCGGGATAAACATTTTCAGAGGAGGTTCTGGTACTGGTTCCTCGACAGCGATACGCGAAACGGTCTCTTCGATGTCCGGCCGCGAAGTAGAAGAAGTTTCTTTTTGGGGAACGATTTTTGAAGTTTTCGCCATTTATTTGAAAAGGAAGGGAAAGGAGGAAGAAGAGGAAGTTAAAAGAGTACACTTGATGGTTTGGGATGAAGACGAAACAGAATTTCTTATAAAAAGATCTCAAAAAACTGAAATATAAGTGCTTGAAAATATTAAGATTGCTAAGGTATGAGGGCAGGAGGTTTGAGTGTAAAGTTTGAATAAGCAAATGAGGGGGTATTTGTAGTTTTTCAAACAATGGTTCGCATCCAGGAGTGGCCTACCAACGACTGACAAACATTTAATTCCATTAAGACTTGACTGACGAGACGTTTTGACTGCTTTGTCACTTCTGTCGTGTGGTGTCAAAGAAAGAATCGAAAGCTCATGTCGTTTCTCGTCGTATACTCTCCGAAAAATGAGGGGACTATCTGTATACAGTCGAGATCGAATTCTCCTACGACATGAAAGGACAGGCTCGGAATGTGACGATGCAAGACTGAAGATCGGCCCCAAGTCACACCGGGCTAGAACCCGAGGTCAGAACACCTGCCTTCGAGACATTGAGTCCGAGACCCCAGGGTCGACCTTAGCCCCGAACAAACTCGGAGAAACATTGTTAGCATAACCAACGGAATACCGAAATATTCATAACCGAGCAGATGTTGCGGAAAAAATTTCGGCACGTATCAGTAAGAAACCGACAATCAGCAAATCAAGAGATTTTTACCTTTTATAGAATTGTACCTAGAGTAGGACTCGTCTACTATATAAAGGGAGTCTGATAATTCATTAAACACATTATAACACGCATTCCAAAGCAATATATCATTATTATTTTTCTTTATGCTCTTGTTCTTCTGTGTCCTGATACCGATCGAAGCATACCTGACTCGAGTGTGACTAACCTTCCAAAACTAAGACTGTTGAATTCATATGGTTTGCATTTATTTTATCATTATTTATTTCAATTGCAATCTAATTTATCGTTTTGTGTTAAGTTAGTCCATGTATCCTTAAAACTACTTACAAATTCAATTGTTATCCAATTTTGAGGGTAAACACCACTCAAAGCTGATATGGTATCTTTAATTGAAATTTTAATTTTTGTGTTTATTCTTTCAAGTTACAGTGCTTTTCTTTCTTCTTGAAGTTTCTCCTTAAAAGTTCTCATTACTCCCGATGTGGTGACAGCGAGAAAGAAACAGGAAGGGTCCAACTTCAAGTTCAGAGCAAGATGCACAAGAAATACCATATCCAAAAGTGAGATTTCGTTTATCAGTTCTGGAAACATATTTGTTTATCTTCCTTTTACTTATTTATATATTACGGTTTTTTAATTTTATTTTATTTGCAGATACTAAGGGGACTTGCTCAAAATAGAGAGGCAGCACGAAAAAGTAGACTTGGCAAAAAGGTACTTATCATTCTCTTATATAGGTTTGGATGTTTCTTCTTTTTCTTCCTTTGTTTATTTTGTCTATTCAATGTTCTTTGTATATACTGTATCTACTGGTAGATCTGGAAATTTTACCATGACTCATTCTTTTTTCTTTATCGTGTGCTTCTATTATTTTCATTTGACGAAACTTTACTACATATTGCATTCAGTTACGTCATTTTGATCTTCACATTCAATCTGTCCGGCAATTTGAGATTTAGTAGGTGATAGTAGGCTATATTTATGCAATTTAAACACTATCTATACTTTAAATTAGCTGCACTTTATTGATATTTGAATGCTAAAAGATAACAAGATACTCTAATTAAGAATTTTATGCGTTGCAGGAGCCACTCCGAGCTAGGAGAAAGCTAAAGATGTTTTGTAGTCAATATGGAGTGTGGAAAGCCAATCGAAGGTTAGCGCGGTCGAAAAGGAGTGTTTTGAATTCAACCTTATTCTTAATTATTGCTAATTTTGTTGTTATTTTTCATTAGATAAATAAATTTCACTTATACTCTATTAAAAATCTTGCATCCAAAAATTGTCTGAGCTTATCATTAGCATTGTTAAAAGTTATAGTAAATAAGTTAGTTCCCTGTGGGATTCGACTCCAGACATGAACCGGATTATATTTGCAGCGACTACTTAGTCCTTTTTACAAGACAAAGTTGGGCGTGATTAAATTTTGGCACCGTTGTCGAGGAACTAACGGTGTTATTTCTTACAACTTAGAAGAATTGCTAGGATTCTTAGTTTAGATCAATTTCCTACGGTGTTAAAATTTTCCATTGAAATTCTCACGTTTGAACTCTTCTGTGACTTAAGTGTATGCCTAGAAGCTCTTTGAGGACTAGTGAACTTTTTGAAGGACTCTCAGACCCCGAGAAAGCATTCAGGGCATTGAATCGGGTCGACAAGAAGAACAAACTGTTAAAACAAAAATACCAACTCGAAAGTGAAATGGACAACGTGGACGACGTTAATGTAAGCAATCGGAATGATTGTGTTGAACCAAACAATGGAGTGGTGGCACCTCTTGTGCCGGAAGCTGCTCTTTATGATTGGGCACAACCAACTGTTGATAACCTGGCCACCGCCATCGCTGTTCCTCAGATACAAGCGGAGACATTTCAGATTACCAACGACATGCTGCACCTGTTGCAGAATAAGGGACTGTTCTCCGGGTCATACATTGAAGACCCACAACAATATCTGAAGAACTTCCTATCAATTTGTGTGACTCAAAGACAGCCGAATGTGACTCCTGAAGCAATTAAGCTATTATTGTTCCCATTCTCAGTGACTGGAGAGGCTCAAACTTGGCTCAATTCGCTCCCAATAAACTCCATTGCTACTTGGGAAGAATTAGTCAAGCAGTTCTTAAACAAGTTTTATTCTTCCAACAAGACTGTAAGGCAAATTGATGAGATATTGCAGTTCAGGCAGAAACCGACTGAGACCTTGCAAGAAACCCGAGAGAGGTTTAAGGGTATGCTAGTGAAGTGTCCATACCATGGCATTCCAGATCAGATGCTGGGACTGAGATTCTACATGGGTTTGGCAGACAGTTTGAAGGTCAATGTAGATGCTTCAGCTAGGGGTGCATTTTTTAGCAAAACGTTCACAGAGTGCAAGATTCTTCTCGACAAGATGGCTTAAAATTCAGGCTGGATGACTAGAGGTACGACACTTACACCAATAGTGCATTCTGTCGCTCTTGACCCAAATAATTCCAATGCAAAGAACATAGCCACTCTCATGACCCAGATGAGCTTACTGGCAAAGAAAATTGATGAGATGGGTACAAAGCAAGTGCACATTGTTGATACAACAAATGGAGGCTTGTGCACTCCTTGCATAAACCAGTCATATGTGTGCTCGTGTGCTGGAGAGAATGACAACCAGGGCTTCAGAGAGGACATGAATTATGTCAACAATTTCGGAGGTCAGAGGCAAGGTGGGCAGGAATAGGGACCAACACCAAACCAGCAGTACAGACCAAAGCAGCCATAACACAACCCCAGTCCAGGAAGCACACGACCACAAGGCCAAGTCGTGCCTTATCAAAGGCAACATGGCTATAATCAGTAGCACCAACAACAGTTGGCCTACCAACCACCTCATCAACAGCAGGACAACAATATGATAGAAATCAGGGGCATGCTGCAACAACTCATTGGGACAAATGGTAAGATGCAAGAAAAGTTAGTAGCACATGATTCGGCAATCAAAGGCATTGAAACTCAATTGGGACAACTATCTAGGGTCTTGAACAATCGCCCACAAGGAAAATTGCCTGCTGATACAAATATTAACCCAAAGAAACAGAACCCAAATCAGCTAATGGCGGTGAGTCTCAGGAATGGAAGAGATTTAGACAGAGAGCAAGAAGTTGCTCAATCTAGGAGAGAGACTACGTCAACTACTCCAGTTACATTAGAGGCAGATGAGTCAGCAGATCTCACCGAGGTTGTAATTGAACAAGCACATGTTGAAAATGGTAAGGAGAAGGAAGGTGAACAACTCTCAGAATAGGTGGTAGAAAAAGCTTCCAACAAAGAAAAGATACCAAGCAGTGGGCAGAGGTTGATTCCTGAACCATTCCCTCAGAGATTGGCAAAGCAAAAGAAAGATTATCAATATAGGAAATTCATGGAAATGCTTCGACAAATTCAATTGAATATTCCACAGATGGATGCTTTGATGGAAATGCCAGGGTATGCAAAAATTATGAAGGATCTGATGTCGCAAAAATTTGACTTCCAGGACCTGTCCACTGTAACTCTGACGCAGACCTGCAGCGCGGTAGTGACAAGACCTATGGTTCAAAAAGTGTCTCATCCAGGTAGTTTCACTATCCCATGCACCATTGGTAGTTATGCTTTTGCAAAAGCATTGTGTGACTTAGGGGCCAGTATAAACTTGATGCCCTTGGCGATCTATACAAAAACGGGCATTGGCAGAGCTAGACCGACCTCAATGATGTTGCAACTGGCTGATCGCACAGTCAAAAGGCCGACAAGAATTCTTGATGATGTGCTTGTTCAAGTGGGGAAGTTTGTATTCCCTACAGACTTCGTTATTCTTGATTGTCAAGTGGATGAAGAGATACCCATCATTCTGGGAAGGTTGTTCTTAGCCACAGGGAGAGCATTGATTGATTGTGAGACTGGAGAGTTGAAAATGAGGTTGAACAATGAAGACATAATATTCAACGTTCAACAATCCATGAGGAGACCCAGCGAATTTGCAAATTTGCTCGCTAGTGGAGGCCGTGGATGTGATACTGCAAGAGGAGGATGAGACCCTTAATGTCAGGGATCTTCTAGAAGCCTGTTTGATGAATTTGGAAGAGATGGATGGTGAAGGGCTGGCAGAGTGGGTCGTGGATCTCGAGGGTCAATGGTTCTGGAAAAGGGAACCTCAGTTCAAGCCCCTACGCTTAGAAGAAAGAGCAACACCACCTGCAAAACCATAAATAGAGAAGCCACCACAGTTGGACCTGAAATTGCTTCCAGCTCACCTCAGGTACGTTTTCTTAGGGTCTAATTCTACTTTTCTTGTTATTATATCATCTGGTTTGCTAGCTGTGCAGGTAGAGCAACTCTTGCAGGTGTTACAAGAATGTAAGACTGCCATTGGTTGGACCATGGCAGACATAAAGGATAACAGCCCAACCTTTTGTATGCACAAGATTCTCTTGGAAGAGGGGCACAAACCTTCCATAGAGCACCAACGATGGCTGAACCCGAATATGAAAAAGGTGGTGAAGAAGGAAGTGATCAAGTGGTTGGATGCGGGTATCATCTTCCCCATCTCTAATAGCAACTGGGTCAGCCCTATTTAGTGTGTGCCAAAAAAGGGAGGAATGACGGTTGTACAAAATGAGAACAACGAGTTCATCTCGACTTGTACAGTCACGGGGTGGCAGATTTGCATGGACTATCAGAAATTGAACACAGCCACCCGGAAGGACCATTTCCCTTTGCCTTTCATAAACCAAATGTTGGACAGGTTAGCTGGGCGGTCTCACTTCTATTTCTTGGATGGATATTCAAGGTCCAACCAGATCTTAATAGCCCCTGAAGACCGAGAGAAAACATCCTTCACTTGTCCGTATGGCATCTTTGCCTTTCGGAGAATGCCTTTTGGACTTTGCAATGCGCCGGCTACATTCTAGCGGTGCATGTTAGCCATTTTCACCGATATGGTTGAAGACATTATGGAGGTGTTTATGGATGATTTCTCCGTGGTGGGTGATTCATTCGAAGATTGTCTTCACAATTTAAGAAGAGTGCTCAAAATATGTGTGGAGACAAATTTGGTGCTGAATTGGGAAAAGTGCCATTTTATGGTACAAGAAGGAATAGTTTTGGGGCATCGAGTGTCCAGTAAAGGAATTGAGGTCGACCATGCTAAGGTTGATTTGATTGAGAAATTGCCACCGCCCACTTCGGTCAAGGCAGTGAGAAGTTTCCTTGGGCACGCCGGGTTCTACAGGCGATTCATAAAATATTTTTCCAAGATTGCTAACCTTTTATGTAAACTTCTTGAAAAGGATCAGCCCTTTGTGTTTTCTAATTATTGCAGGTTGGCATTTGAGGAGCTAAAGAAGAGACTGGTAACTGCACCCACCATTGTTGCACCCAACTGGGAGCAATCGTTCGAGTTCATGTGCGACGCCAGTGATTATGCTATAAGAGCAGTCTTGTGGCAGCGAAAAGACAAGATGATGCACCCAATTTACTATGCAAGCAAGACGCTCAGTGGTGCATATCTCAATTACACCGTAACGGAAAAGGAAATGTTGGTTGTAGTGTTTGCCTTCGAAAAATTTAGGTCGTACATAATTGATTCAAAAGTTATTGTTTATACTGACCATGTAGCAATTAGGTACTTGATAGCAAAGAAGGAGTCAAAGCCAAGCTTAATCCGCTGGGTTCTTATACTACAAGAATTCGATCTGGAAATCCGTGACAGAAAAGGGATGGACAATCAAGTGGCAGACTACCTCTCAAGGTTGGAAGGAGCTAAAAAGAAGATTGAGGTTGAAGATATAACAGAGACATTCCCGGATGAACAGTTACTTGCTGTGACAATGGAGGAGTCGCCATGGTATGCTAATATTTCTAACTATTTAGCAAGCGGTATGGTACCTTATGATCTTTCTTCAATTCAAAAGAAAAAGTTCTTTCGCGATTATCAATCTTATTATTGGGATGGACCTCTACTTTTTAGAATATGTGAAGATAACATGATCCGGAGGTGTATCCTCGAGAAAGATCAACCTTCTGTTTTGCAGGTTTGCCATGCTTCACCATATGGTGGACACTTTGGAAGAATCCGGGCAGCAGCAAAAGTGTTGGAATCAGGGTTGTATTGGCCCAATCTGTTCAAGGATGCCCATGCTTGGGTAAAAAGTTGCGATGAGTGCCAAAGGACAGGAAACATATCTCGACGTCACGAGATGATGATGACCAAAATTCAAGAGGTGGAGGTTTTTGACATGTGGGGATTGACTTTATGGGGCCTTTCGTCAGCTCGTATGGTAACAAATACATATTGGTAGCAGTTGACTATGTCTCCAAATGGGTCGAAGCGGTGGCTCTCCTAACCAATGATGCAAAAGTGGTGACAGGCTTCCTAAAGAAAAACATCTTCACATATTTTGGCACCCCGAGAGCTATAATTAGTGATGGCGGAACACATTTTTGCAATAGAGCGTTCGCACGGCTGTTGGAAAAGTATGGAGTTTGCCATAAGGTAGCTACACCTTACCACCAACAGATGAGCGGGCAAGTTGAAGTGTCCAACAAGAAAATCAAAAGTGTCCTGACCAAGATAGTGAATGCGACAAAGACTGATTGGGCAAAGAAGCTGGATGATGCATTATGGGCGTACCGCACAGCATTCAAAACTCCAATTGGTATGTCACCATACAAGTTGGTGTTTGGAAAACCATGCCATCTTCCGGTAGAGCTCAAACATAAAGCCCTTTAGGCATTGTGGAAGTTGAATTTGGATATGGAGACCGCAGGCACCAGCAGAGTCACTGAGTTACATGAACTCGAGGAATTCAGGTTCCATGCATTTGAGAATGCAAGATTGTACAAAGAAAGGATGAAAATGATGCATGATAAGCACATTCTAGATCGGAACTTCAAACCCGGAGATCTAGTGTTGTTATACAACTCGAGATTGAGATTGTCTCCGGGTAAGTTGAAGTCCTGATGGTCAGGACCCTTCAGAGTGGTGCAAGTGTTCTCAAGTGGAGCTGTAGAAATTGAATCCGAAGATGGGACAAATAAGTTCAAAGTGAATGGTCAAAGGTTGAAACATTACCTTGGAATGGTCGAAGAAAAGGGGGATAGAGTGGTGATATCTTTGGAAGAGCCCCAATACGCGAGCGAAGAGTAATAGTGAATGTTTACGTCGTGCCGCGATGCTAAATCAGACGCTTCCTGGGAGGCAACCCACGGTTTGTTGTAAATCGCCGTGCTGCGACATTAACTTAGGCGTTTTTTGGGAGGCAACCCATTATTTTTCTTTACTCTTGTTTTTTTGTAATTGATTTTGAACGGCATCGACTAATCTACTAATGTGCAGGGATAAGATTATACGCATCGAAAGGATTCGAGGGACGAAATTAATTCGGAGATAGGTAAAAGTGCAAAAAAGACAAAAATTTGCTGGAGATCAATATCCGCGGCCGCGGATTGGACCGCAGAGTAGGCCACGGATTTTGCACAGACCACTACCTCCCCGTCCGCACCCGCGGACTTGACCGCGGATTGGGGTGTAGATTTTGTCCCCCTCATTGTTCCTCATCCGCGGCCGCGGATTGGACCGCGGAGTAAGCCGCGGATTAGGCGGTACCAGGTTCAGAATTATTATTATTATTATTTTCTTTCTTTTATCTTCTTTTCTTTCCTATTAAGTAGTTTTTTTTTCACTTAACCCCCCCNTTTGGGTAACTTGGGGGGTATATGCACCTTAAGTGTTTGTTGAATTGGCACAATGAGTTTGAATGTAAATTGTGACCAATTGTGCGAGTGAAGTCTGAGTAACCGCCATTGGTTCCCATATTACGCCGATTACTGATAGTAGTGTTTGTTGTGTAGGTACCATGACACCTTCAAAGAAGAGACGCACCACCGGAGCCTCGTCAAGTGGTCATGGAGGTTCATACCGGGCATGGGCACCGGCCAGTGCAGCTTAGTTTGATCGTACCAGGTTTGTCTCCAGAGCTGCCCAAGACCGTTTCAGTTTGAAGGCCACTAAAAAACCTATACCGGAAAGGGGTATTGACAAGGCGTCCCTCCAGGATGAGTGCCCTAATATGTATCGGGGGTTGATCAGGTGCAGGTTGGACAGTTTTTTCGAAGAGCCGGAGGAGGGTAACTTGATGCTTGTTCGGGAGTTCTATGCCAACTGCCCCGAACATGAGGATAGAATATGCACTATACGACACACGAGGGTGGATGCCTCGATAGAATCCATCAGGAGAGTGTACAGATTGCCTGTATTCAATGGGGAGGAGGATTTCTAAGATACTTACAAGCGAGAACCTATCACATGGAACAGGTTTTTCAGAACTATCTGTGCACCAGACAAAGAGGTAGTGTGGGTTGTACCGGGATCGAAGCTACACTCTACCTTACTCACTTTTGAAGGAAAGTGTTAGTTGTACATCATCAATAATCGCTTGCTTCCATCTCACAACACCATAGAGGTAAATGGTTTGAGAGCTGTCTTGATCTGGTGCTTCATGAATGGCCACGATTTTGATGTGGCCAAGGTTATTCAGTCTGAGATGTTCGTTGGTGCACCATAGTAGAGGTATGGGTTCTTTTTCCCCTTTTTGGTCACTAGATTATGTCGGGCAGCAAGGATGCCTGAGAACCCAAATGCGGATGGCATGGTGAAGAAAGAAGCAAAGTTCCAGGCAGACAAAGTAACAATCGGGAAAGACCCGGTGGCACCTGGGGTAACTCATAGTGACGATTCTAATGCACCGGAGGAGGGCGATGAAGGGCAGGAGGAGGTTGAACCTGCCTCACTCCCACAGGAATAAGCTGCAGCGGCTGAAGGACCATCCCAGGTCAGACGGAGTACACGGATGACAGCCTTAGAACAGGATATGGCAGGGTTGTGCACTTCCGTCACGGAATTGGGGACTAGAGTTGATGCCTTTGCCACCCAAAAATGTGAAGTCAGAGAAGAAAATCATGGGCTGGCTGCGTGCGCTAGGGAGGACGTGTCATTTCGACCCTGGCACTGTCTCCTATCAAGACTGATCCACC